GGGGGGGGGGGGGGGGGGGTGAGAAGGATTAATGACTTTCAGGATTACTGGTTACATTTGAAGTTTAATACAGTCACAGGCTGTTACAGACTACACGTCATATTTCAGACTGCCTTAATTTTCATTTATTTGTTCTTCTAAGCGAGACACCATTCCTCTGTACAGTGAATGACACCTAATGCCCTGAAGGAATATCGGTCCCGCATTTAAAAATCCAGGTGGTCTGAGCCTGTTGTCAAACATACTGATATCAAATAACACAGATGGATGCAGGCATTACACAAACAGTAGTGTCATCATTCATCTTTTGGTATCAAGTAATGATTCCAAGCATGACACACATGTAGTGGCACATTAGGCATACTGTACATATTTTCACTAATGGTTTAATGCTGGCCAGTGGAACCACACGGATATCAACAGCCAGTGTTCATAGGCTCACTGTAGGCCCTGACATAGCAGAGTAATATTTATATCTTATATAGGGTCTTTAAGGTCTGAAAGTCATTTCTGATGTCTGTAGTGCATTCATAAACACACATAAACACAAAACGCCCCATCAACACTGCAAGACCTACTCACTCAGCAGCAGCAAACACACACCAAGTACACCCAACCCTGTCCATCTCAGTCATATTTTTTCAAGGTGTATGCATGCATGTATGTATTTATGTTTGTGTGTGTGTGTGTGAGAATTGTTTTTATCAATCATCACCTGATCTAAACTTTAAGATCCAATTACCAACAGGAACACCAGGCCACCCAGATACTGACAGATGCTGCTGCTGTTGCTGCCCCTATCATAACACACACGGCACCTATACGGCACTGACACGATGCGTGGACATTCGTGCACAGTTAAAACAGTGGCGACACATGTGCTGTGAATAACACTGAATTGTGCGCGCAGATGACACACGCACACACCCTACACACACACAATATGTCTGTCACCCACATCCTCTGTTTCATCCATGCAGAATGGGACTGAATGGCGAACTACAGGTATGGCGGAGATAAGTATAATTTATTAAAACATTGTGTGTGTAAATATGTGCATCATATGTTCATGATGGAATGATCCTGTAACCTCTCCTTGCTTTACTTCAGAGAATGAAACTCTCTTGCATGGATTTTTTTTTAAAGAAATGACAGTCATTCCATTTTTTTCCAAACAGCAGTAGGAACAGAAGGATAGAGGGGGAAAAGAGATATATCTCTATAGATTGAGTGAGACAATCCAGTTATCCACTTCTTGAAAGTCAAGGTCAATTTGGACTGATGCCAAAAATCAGATACTTCACATTTCCTGTTTCCTAGTTTGCTTGCATTTTTCTCAGAGGGAGCTAGAGCCATTTGTTGAATACAGTAGAGGGTTTGGTTTGCACGCTGTAAAGCTCAATTTCATGCAGCACAGTGGGTTGCCCAACAGAGCAAACCATGCAGAGTGAAGAAGGGTAAAAAAACTTGTTCACTTGTTCTGGGGCATGAATGAGCAGAGAGGTGGATGAAGAGTGATAAATGGAGCTACTTGACTCATCTGTTTGGAATGAAAAAGTGAAAAAGAGCAGCAAAAGAAAACACCACTGGGCCAAAGTTAATAGTGATCACACAGTCTAAAAAAAGTAACAAAATAAAATATAAATATCAGGTGACTGTTGCAAAACCTGTGGAGCAGAGACGGTTATGATGCATCCATGTAGAGCTGCAAATAACCTTGAAAGAAAAGGCAATGTAAATGTGTTTATAGAGTTAGGGAGAGATTATGTAAATATTGGTTTCTTTCTTATTTAGACAAATGTATACAATCTTTGAAAATATGCTTGCTAAGATACGTTTATGTTACTATCACGCATCAAACCCGCCAGTAATAAAGATCATTTACGAAAATGAAATGTTAGGAACATTGATTCTGCAGCTTAAAATCATTTTGATGGTGGATTATGACAATTATGTAAAAGAATGCAAAATATTTTCAGTCCTTGCATCACATGTGTTGTGATAACAGAAAGTGGGTAAAAAGCATGGGTTTTGGTTAAACATGGTTCTGCTGTTGAGAGTGTTGAAAACAAAGTTTAAAGAAGCTGTGATCAGTGGTGAGGAGCTAGAAGCTGTAAGACTTCATAGTAAACAACATTATAATAGCTCAAACAGCACTTGCACTGAGTTCAGATTGCAGAGTTTGGTTCAGTTTTTACATTGGGGCAGAGGCAACCCCAGAATCACAAACGTGCTGGCCTTAAACACACAGCAAAGTCTGTAATCATAAAACTCTCCAACCCACTTAAATCTTAAAGACACAAAATGACCTAGGAGTCATAATTGCATCCACATTGCTACTGTTTGAAGGTACATTCACAGCAGGACAGGGGCTTCAAATGACAGAAAAAACAACAAAAACAGAAGTGTTATTTTTACTGGTGTTTAGTCATATTTATGCCAGGGAAAAAATAAAAAGCCAAAATTCTTCCGGGAGGTTATGAACCACAGCAGCAAGTCTCAAACTTTTTTATGTGTATCCGAGTGGAGTACTTTACATAAGATTTTCCTGAGGCAGGAACAACATATGGAGATGATCCCACTAAAACTGTCATGCCCTACAAAACCATTGCTTTCCAGTAGTACAGCGTGTCTGGCTTCCATAATGTTAAAAAAAAATGTGCATAATGTTCAAAAAATGCAATTGACCATTCGTGAGAACCCTCCTCCAAACAGTAGTTGTCCAATAATAGCTTAGCAACCGTAACTAGGCATGGCAGGCCTGTCAAGCTTAGGATTTCTCCACATGCCATAGCAGTAAGACCGAAACTCACCATTTAAAGAGTTTAGAAGGAGGTGTCTTTGTTTAGTCTTTCCAAAAGACAAGAGAAAAAGTGTAAAGAACAGATTCAACAACTTGTTTGTCAGCTCTAATTCAAGATTCAAATGTTCTTGTGTCTTGTTCACTAGCTTAACTAGCCTAGAGTAATGTTAGTCTACGTCCAAGGCCAAGGAGCTCATCATTCACTAACCACATTTTGTGGGGCTACAGGTTATGCTAATATAGCTCCATTCACAACCAGCTAATCTACTGTATAATATGTAGTATGGCTATATGTTATCTAATATTATACACCAACCTTAACAGCTCTATCCTTATTGGATTTGGGGAAGTTTGCACTCTTGCAACCTCAGCCAACATGATACCCAACACAGTGTTAAACTTACTCTTCATCCTAAAAGACTTTAAAAGTCAAACATACAATTTGAAAATACAAACAGGTATTTAAGCTAAACTGCTTTATGTTAGAACGAAGTCCAGTCTGATCGTATAGTTTTCCTGATCATACAGTATTATGCTAGGACTCAGCTCTACACTGTAATAAGCATGATATCCTATATAGCCATCAAGTGCATATTAATAAACCTTTTACAAGATTGTCATTTTAAAATTCCACTTGAAACATTAAAAATGTAGCAAGAGATAGCAATTTCAACCAAGTTATAGAGCTAATGTTAAACTGCCAGCGACTACTTTTATTTCATTTTATCAGTGACCCATTGATTCAATTAAATTTGCCACCATTATCATTGTAAACTGTAAATGCTGTGCAAGAACAGAAAGTTTGGCTGTTGTAGCAGTAACTAAGGAGTGTGGGGCTTAGCAAAAAAAAATGTTGCCCTTGGTTTTAAATGTAAGGCCTTATGTGTCACTGTAAATGACAATACTACATCCTATATGTTTGATTTACTCTGTCAGATACAGCCAATTAGGTTTACAACTTGTTGGTACTCAGCTAGAGGTATACCACACACATTTGAAAATTGACATATATGCCAATTCAACATCTGAATAACATTTGTCAGCTCCGTGTAAGAGTGGATTTATCCATTAAACACACAAGGTATGCTACAGTACACACCCTGTGCTCTCACTCGGCAGAGCTTAAAAGAGGTTTGCAGGCTCCTAAAACCTCCACAAAAGAACATGATGAGTAGTACTTTGTGTGTGGGGGAAATGTCAAATATTCCTTTGACGTGTAGTTGAAAGGAAAAAAAGATAAAAATCCTGACCCTTAACTGGTAACAGGAAATTGGGAATCTGTCTGCTCTTGTTATATTAGAAGGGGTCTGTCAGTGTGACATGTGAAGTGCTGATCCATCTGACAAAAAGAGCTGGGGGAAACACTTGTTGAGTACCAAACACTGACACTAGATAGAGCCTTTTGCGGCCACCGTAGTTTCTCCTACATGCAATGCAACGCAATCAAAAATCCTACACACTGGTCCTTTAACTTAATTTAATGGAAATTCTACATTACATTTTGAATTTCGATTTGTTTTAAAAGTGTCAAACAGCAAAATTAAACATTTAATTTCCAGTTTAAATGCATAAAAATTATATTTAATACAATGAACAGGTAACGAATTGGAGCTCAGATCATTCGATTGTTGATTTTCGCAATGTATTATAAATTTAGGGCTAGAAGATTAGAGTCATAAAAAATAAGTGTCTAGTCTTAATTGGTCCAACATATTGGACTCTTAAACATTTTGATAGAAATTTTCCAGATCCAGAGCACTCTAAGATCCAGAATGATTAACTGATGATCAGATGAAAGGTTAGGATTTTCTTTCTGTTCATTCTCATCTGTACCTCGGGGTATGGCTGTGTGTAACAAGAGACAAGAGAGAGACAACACCAAAAAATGTCTGTCTCTTTGTCTGTGTTTACGCTATCTAACGTGACTACTGTGGAAAGAAGGAAGAAGACTGATGCGGTGATGATTTATTGTTGCCTTGTTGTAGATCTTGAGAATTAACCC